ACAAGCAAATGGGAATTGTTGTAACGTCGCTTTGTGAATTCAAGCGATTGATATGTGTAAGTGGCGGATTAGATATAGCACAAAATATATTTTAAAATGTATATGGATCAATCTACCCTTTAAAATTTAATGATATCTCAAAGAACAATCAATATCATTGTTCGTTAACATCGGTTGAGTAGTTTTAAATTTATAAGTTACTAACATACAATATTGCCTTTTGATATACATTTGATAATTAATTATTATTTAATTTAATTTAAAAATATCATTTATACATTATTAATATTTTTGTGAATAATGACAGCCTTATGCATAAGCAAAAAAAACGTATGATTTTCGTAAGCCAATCGAAATTTACGCGTGAGTCATCACATAGCAACTTATAGGGGTTGGAAAAAAAGAAGCTATAAATATCCTCCGTAAGTCTTGAGAAATCTATTTATATATATTCTGTTGAATTCAGTATAGATTAAATCATTTTAAATGTCTGTATTTTGAAAAAATTAATTTCATCATTAAAAAAAAAAAATTAATTTTGCTGGTCAGATATTCAGATGAAGCCACTGATGTATTCCTATTTTATTTTTTAATATTCCTTAGACATAAGCTGGATCTATAACAACTTAGCTTAAAACCTGCTACGCGAAGTCCTCTATGTATTAAAAACACACATGGCAATTTTAAGAGTGGTTTCAGGGTCAACCTGTAATTAAAAAAAAAAAAAAAAACATTACGTTCTTATATGTGTATACAATATACTTTAGATATACATCACAGATAAATATCAGCCGCTTATACATTACTCACGACTCGATGATAAACACCGTGGACTACATATTTGTTATTTATAAAATGCGTTTTATGAATAAATTATCAAAATTTTTTACTATTTTTGAGCTACCCCATAGATATGACAAATTTTTCATAATATCGATAAAAAATTATTTTTTGAGTCAAATTCTTGAAATTTTAACTTAAAATCCTACAAAAAAATTTTCTTATACCTCTATAAAATAATTAAGTATGTGAAATTCATCGAAAAATTACAAAAAATCGCACACTATACTTTATAGTTCATAATAATTAATACAAAATTCTTTATAAGTAGTTTATATTAAAACTGAAAAATATACAAAGACAATAATTATACTTATAGACATTTTAAGGTCAAATTTGAATGAGATCACTTATTTAAACGATAAATAACATTATTAATAGGTAATTTATTTTTGAAATTGACGATTATGAATGCTATTGTTACAATAAAGCCATTATTATTACTATTGATTTTTATAAATAACCGGCAAGTTTATACATAAAGATATTTTTTATTTCATGCATGTTACCAATTTTAAGTTATTATTAGAAATCTGTACTTTAGTGAATAGCTGATGTATAAACGTTAATACTTTTTTTTAGGTTTTTGGTTCAAACTATTGAAACTTTAGAAGTTTTTAGTTCAAGCTATTGAAACTTTATACGTTTTTAGTTTTTCGTCCAGAATAAAAGGAAATCAAATTTGGTCGTTCAATAAAAAAAAAAAAAAGAAAAATAATCTTTAAAAAATACTGCTATCAAATGGTCAAAAAAAGTAATGCAAGGTGGGACAGCTATGTTAAGTTCATATGTCAAAAATATCATCTACACACTAAATCAGAAAACCAAAAATATTATTTATTCACATGTTGTTACGCTAAATGTTAGCACTAAATTTAACACGAATACATTTTTTACGGGCAACGAAGTGCATGGGGATATAATAATTTTACAAAAATAATTGATAATTAATTAATATGCTAATCGTTGATTCCTGTACTGTTTAAAAATGTTAGATTTCTGCACACCAGTACTAAATTGAGCGCTTTTAGCCTTTAGGTATACACAAATCTAGGAATTCGAGGATTTGATAAGTGACTGAGATGATTGAAAACTATTAAGCCAATATTTGTAGAATTTATTATAGAGCAGTTTACAGCCACCTACTTTATTATGTATTCACATATTTCACCGCACAACCGAACGTAATTTTGTGGATTTTGAGGATTCAAAATCAAAACATCTTTGGGTTTTTTATTAAAAACTTTTCAAATTTTTAATCATTTAAATATATTGGTTATTAGTTATAACACTTAGGCATAACAAATGTTCGCGACTTGTTGGATTTGTATATTCTTAAATAATGGCTGCAGAATAATCTAAGTAAAATATAAATTTGTTCAAAGATAAGAAAACAGACTGAGATTTAAACATTTTAATCACATATTTTGCATTTTTCTGCCAAAGTATAAATTTGAAAAAAATTGTAAATTGTTATTTATAGCATAATTACGCATTTTTATATCTTTTACTTAGTAAATTTATTTTATATAAGTTATAACAGTTATTTTTTTAATATCATATTGTATTAGTCGATATACCTAATTATTGATTATTTCTTGTGGTATTGTACAACACTAGATAATATAATAAAATTAAGATAAGATAATAATATTATTAGCTGAACGTGGCAATTTGGGAAATACCTAATTTATCTACGTATAGTTCTGTTTAATTGTAAATACTATGATTCATCGTAAACCGTTTTAAGTATGAAAAAATAAACAAATACCTATTCATTTGTTTTCGTGAATGATAAAAATTAGCTGTATATTAATAAGCATAATTCGATCATATTTAGTATAGTAAGTCCCGATTTCTAGTAATAACATATAATAACGCATAGTCTTAGTATTATGCACGTCTATGCAGATATTCCATTTAACATGTTAAATAGTGGATAACTTTCGATGAGTTGCAATAAATGCAATGGACGTAAAGGAAGTGTACAATATAATAACATATTATTTTAATTGGTGTGTACATAACAGGATGTCGAATACTCGAATATCGACAACACGCGCTAAACGTAGTTAATTAAATATTAGAGATTAATAATACTTTTAGTTTGTAAAGTTTGCAATGCAAACATATAAATTATAGGTACATGACGCATATTATCGCATATAGGTACTTGTCATTTTATGTTTATCAATTTTGTTATTATATCATTATAGTAAGTATTTGTCACTAAATATTATTTTTGTTGTTTGACTATAGAATAGGTACATTTATGTATTATTATGTTATAATGGTACAGTCAGTAAAGCTTACAGAGTACAAGACAAGCTACAAATTACAATATACCCATATATTAGCAGTTCCCACTACGAGGCCCAATCACACATTTTGTGCAGCCCACACTAAAATTGTATGGTACATTTTAAAGACTAACATTCTTCACTTTAAGAGTAAATAAAATCAAATACTTATTTTGTGGTTCAATTAAAATAATTATTGCAATTTCTTTTATTTATCTTATCTTATTATTCTTATATTTTTTTAATCATTATCATTAAAGATGTAATTAGGGACTAACAAAAAAAAAAAAAAATTGCCAAAACCAAGGTCCTTTTTTAGGTCAATATTGAGTATATTAATTTGATTTACTACTTAAGATTCGCAAATTATTTTCAAAATTCTTATTTGGCCCTTTCTAAAATGTTAAAAGAAAACCATTACTATGTATAATATATATAGAATATAGATACACTTGCATAATGAGATAAAATATAAACTAGAGTATTTATATTTATCTACTACCTATAACCTATTATCACATATTATGCATATATTGATAATTATAGCATAGTGTGTATTTTTTTCAATAATTTATATTAATTAATATAATTAGAAAATATAATAATTATAAATTTAACTCCTATAATTAAGCGTCAATAAGGAAGTATGTTTTTTTTTATTTAACTACTGGCTACTATAGATAGTCTATCAGTAATATTCATAAAAAATAAAAAATATTTAAATTATTTACTTATAGAGATCATTTTTTAATTCTTTGGTAGAAAATCGGAAACTTTTATTTTAGCAATATAGTGTTCGCAAATTTGGAATTTTAAAATCATTTCGATCCGATCTAGATAGGTACATGAATTATGATATTTGTATTTTGTATATTTTAAGTATGATATGGCAAAGAAGGAGCAAATTATTGTGATGGTTCTGTGTTCGGTGGTCTGTTGGCGCCACATTCCTGAATTCGGCCTTGAGTGCCACAAAAATATTATGCGGATATAATATAATAAATATCATACTTTATTATAAGTTACAATCATCTAACATACTATACAATCGAGTTTATTAAAGACTACTGGTTGTTTAGTTATTAATCCAATAAAATAAAAAAAAATTCATTTATATTTGTGATTTGAAAAAATGTATTTCAGATTCAGAAATAGCGTTTTAAATTAAATTATAAGTAAGTATTTTAGTTAATAACCAATTTACATAAACATGAATGATCTATTTATATCATATATATCCTATAGGATCGTTCATTTGAAATTTGCACATTTTTTGCTTTGTATCATGTAAGTTAAAACACCAAAATATCAAATGTTACCTCTGTTTGTATAAAACTATATTTACCGAATTTAAATTGAATAGGTATGACTGCAATGACTGTATAAGACCTTAAGTATACGTAATTCTGTACATTTTATTCTGGATTTATAGATATTAATATTTTAATCATATAGTTTATTAATACAGTATTCTCGTTAATTCCTGTCGGTACCTTTAAAATAATTAATACCGACTATTTTATAAATGTATAAATATGTAAAGTTATTTTACAGACCTAATTACATTACAATATAGCGGTAGATGACTTTAAAAAGATTCCCAGGGTAACTAGAAACCACAACATAAATATCGAGGTCGACGTGCCCCTATTGCACTTACCACCAGCAGCTATTATTGAGTTTTTTATATAATTATCTACGTTCGAAAATTATGTCACGGCATAAAAACGTACCTGCTTATCGTATTATACGACGGAACGGGTGGGCGGGGCGTGGACAGTATTACCATTCTCTTATCTTATCAACGAAACTCTACGAGTGACAACGTCTATAATTTGCCGAGAAAATTTCATTTCTAAACAATAATATTAAACAGAATTATAAAACTAATAATTATAATAATTTATAATACTGGTAAAAACATAAACCGTCTTCACTCTTCATTCTTTTCAGTCGACGCAAACGCGGCGGACGATTATGATTATTTATGTCCGAAATTGATTGCAAAAAGTCATCCAGTTGTCAAATTTTAATTAAATAATTTTTACGGCTACTCACGAATCGCGATCATCTCATTGAACTTAACACATATTCATTTCCAAGTATTAGTTCGCTGTAAACGAGATTTACCAACGATATTATGAGTGACGGTAAGTACTTTTCACATAACTATAAGTATACTATTAATTTACTTATTTGTCCTATTGTCATTTAAATTAATTATTTTGTTGGTTTTCTAATAATCGTATTTAAAAGATTCAATTAAAATATTGCCTATGAATCCAAAGTACAATTTCAAAATATTTTGTGTAATTATAATTTATAGGTAGGTAATTTATTGTACATTGCGATTACATAAGTTAGGTACGCCGTTGGTGTAATATTTGGCGATTTGGCCCTATTACTGTTTGCTGAGCGCTTTCGTTTAGTAATTTTGTAATGTTTAAACAACGACAATAATAATTAATAATAATGAATAACAAATTAACGACGATTCGGGTTCTCGGAATATCTGTGAAGAAAAATTCGAAGTTAAATGTACATGTACGTCACCGATGTTGATGGTGAGTGGGGAAATGTCCGTGTACTTTGAACATCCTATTAAAAATCTGCTTATTCCGCTCATCTAATGGTCGTACCACCCGCTGCCGCAAACGTAATTGGTGGCCGCCGGTACAATTTAGTTTGTTGTTGTTGACTGTTGTCCCGCCTGACCAAAGTATTATTATTATAAAATATCATAAATAATAAATTGGTAGGAATATTCACACAATCCACCCGCAGACCGCAGTCTGTGCTCCCGAGTCTCCGAAGCAGCACCTCGATCCTTGGAAAATAAAAATCCTTATATCTCGCGATCTGCCGGACAACAACTTCATACGCGGTTTTGAAAAAGAAAACCGTTATCAAGGTAAAATCTACTTCGACTAGGTATTTGATACCTAATATAATTTTACGTCTTATAGCGTTCTAAGTTCATCAAAGTTAAGTTATACTATTGAATATTGATATTCGTATTTTAAAAATTACTTATAGCTGGATGCTGGATCTGCTCAGTTTCCGAAAGATTACACTGACGATTTACTTTTCTGACCTATGCAGTAAAGACTTTTAAACATTTTGACAGTTTTAAAAATAAAACATAATTTTTTTTTAGTTAATTAATAAAAGAAGAAGAAAATGTATTTCTTTATAAAATTAAATAGGTTATAAAATATTTTTTATTTTTAAAATATATATTGTTTTCTTTTATGTTAGATTAAAGTTGCATTAAATAAAATGTTTCGAGATTTTGTTGTCTTTATGAAAATATCGATGTAGGTATATGAACAGAAAAAAGTTACATTATTAATTACCCTTCCATTCACAGGCTGGTTCTTATTGTAACATATTTATGGATATTTTTGATGCAACAAATATAAAACTATTAAATTCCTACCTATTTCTACAGACATGTACAGACAATTTCATGTATGAATTAATTTAGATTCCATCTTATTATCAAAATTACATTTGAATCCCTGTTTAAATTTGTTCATGTATATGCCTATAGAAATTAAATTATTATTTCTAAGTGGAAATAAGTTAAGAATAGATGGAATTTACTATGATGAGAACACATTTAATCTCGGGTTCATTTTTTAAATGACCTATAAATTGTAATATCATTCAATAAATAGTAATTAAATTTGTATAGTTATTTGCCATTTCAGTAAGTTCTTAATGTATTATTTTTGAATTGTCATACCTAATATTTTATGAAATTGAAGGTCAAGCTGCATTAATTTTTAGATGACACATCATTCATAAGTGGATTAAATATAGTTTTTTTTTTTTTTTTATGTAAATCAATTATTTTTTATTACATAGTTCAATATAATATTATAAATTATAATGTTATTAGAATGCCGTTAATTTTTCAAATGATCATATATTATTTTAAATGTTATTTGTGTCTATTTATTCATTTGACAATAAAAATACAAAAACATAATTGTACCTATAAAATTTAAATTATATTTTATTAATACTTTTTTATTGAAATTCCTATTACATTATTTTGTAGTTTAAATATTTTGTATATTAATAGCTTAAATATACGTACTATTAAGTGGAGATTAATAAACATTTATTATATACATATTTCAGATCCAAAAAACATGGCACTCACTACAAATTTAGAAGCTTTAAGCTTGGCAAATCATGATTTTTCATTTTCTTTGTACAAGGTAAAAAACTAACTTTTTTTACTATAAATACTAATTGCTTTTCCTAATTATTAATTTATCATAATTTAGGAATTGGCCAAAACTGAAAAAGGAAATATTTTCTATTCTCCATTCAGTATTCATGTGATTATGTTTATGGCTAGCGTTGGAGCAGCTTCAAAAACATTTGACGAAATGATAGCCACTATTCATTTAAATAAAACTACCCATTCCCTGGAATCTTATAGGAATTTATTGGAAGATTTAATAGTGAGTAAATTATTTCATGTCTGATATTTATTGTTAATTGATTAAATTGTTTAATTTTATTATTATTTTACTATTATGAAATTTATAGCAATGGAATATTAGTTTTTACCAAATACACTGTAATTTATGTTTAAAATTAATCTTTTAAATTTTGTAAGCATGTTAGTAATTTAATACCATTTTAGAGTGAGAATGATAATCTGAAACTGGCGACTGGAATGTTTGTGGATACAGCTTTCAATGTTAAAGATAGTTTTGTGGAAAACTCTATGAAATATTTGAAATCTTCTATGGAAAAATTGAACTTTGTGAATGAGCCAGAACAACAACGTCAGTATTTAAATAATTGGGTCTTAAACAAAACCAATAACAAAATCAATGACTTATTTCCCAAAGGTAAATTAATAATTGATTTATAACTAAATATAAATAATTTAAGCAATGATCCAATTTTTCTTTACAGGCTCCATTAATAGAGACACTGTCTTAGTATTGGCTAATGCTGTGCATTTTAAAAGTGGTTGGGAACATAAATTTAATGATGCAGAAGATGATTATTTTTATGTGACACCAAGTAACAAAGTAACAGTAAAAATGATGACTTTAAGACATGATTTGCAATACTATCATGATAGTGACCTAAAATTTGCTGCACTTGAATTACCCTATGAAGTGACTAATGCTTTATTTTTTTAAATTAATTTAATATTTTGGAAAAATGTATTATTTTATATTTTTCTGTTTAGCACCATGCTTTCAAAATGCTAATTTTATTGCCTGATGCTAAAGATGGTTTGAAAGAGCTGGAGAATAATTTTTCAAAAATTAACTTACATGATATTTCAAAGAAAATGACCAAGTATCATGTAACAGTCAAATTACCTCGTTTCAAATTGGAACAAACAATTAAATTAGAAAATATATTGTCAAATGTAAGTAAATATTATAAACAATATATATTTATATATATTTATTTAAATTATATTCTAGCTTGGATGTCCAACAATGTTTACACCAGCAGCCAACTTTTCTAACATTGTTGAAAATAAAAATTTGTACGTGAGTAAGGTTATGCATAAGGCATATGTTGATGTCGATGAAAAAGGAACTGAGGCTGCAGCAGCTACAGGTAATGAATTGTATTTTTCTTACTGGTGTTTGGTTATTAACTTATCATTGTTCATTTTTCTACATTTTAGAGGAAAAAATAACATTTAACACATTTAATATTGTTTCTATTAATTATATACATCACATGAATGGTAAATTTTTAATCATTTTAAAATGTTTAAATCCTGGTTTACTTGTTGTCTACAACTTTGTATGCATGGACGCATGGTTATGTTTAAAGCTTGTTGGGAATATCTTTTTATAATAATACTGAATATCAGATACTATCAATAGGTGTTATCTTAATGTTATGACTTAGTCATTTATCTATTTTGTCATGAAAATTATACTAAACCAAGGTTCGTATATCAATTCCTCTTTCTAATATGTTAAAATGATGCGTCTACAATTTATTTTAATTAATATTGATTATTTATCTGTATCTCAATATAAAAGTTAGTTTATCAGACATGGTTTATAAAATAGTTTACTATCTAAACTATAAAGGGCAAAGTGATTGTGAAACAATAAAACAGTAAAAAGAATAAGATTAGATTTTGCTGGGTTATCTATTGTTAGAATATTATTTATTTTTTTAATTCTGTTTATGTAAGCATGTAAATACATATTGACCAATTTAATTGTTAATAAATAATAACTTATAAAAATATAGTATAATATACTAATATTTACTACCTATATATTTATGTATCAAGCTTAATATCGCAATTTTTTAATTATTTTATAATATTAAACATTTTTGTACATACCATAAATTAACTGAGTCAAATAACTTGATCTAAAATTAAAATACTTTTTAAAATAATTTATAAGTTGATTAAAAGTTTTTCAAAATTAAAGTAGTAATAATATTATTTTAAATTTAGTTTTTGAGTATATATTTTAGAATCCTACTTTGGTAATCAAAGCTTATTCTGGTTAATTATAATTATATTATATAAAAAATAAAAAATATTAAAACGTTTTATTAATATATAATTAAAGAACTATTTGTAACAACAATTTGACACCATTTTTTCAAAGGCTATCTAGTAGCTTTTTTTAATTTTTATAATAAAAAGTTATTGTAGTACAAAATTTACTAAAAATACATTATTAATTATAGAGCTTATTATAAAGTGGTTAAATGATGTATTTAATAATAATATTTTAAACAATTTGTGTAATATAATATAATATTCTAACTATAAAAACAAAATTTAATTACTTTCTTTTTGTTGTATTGCACTTATGTGAAATAATAATAACAAACTTTGGTGTTGTTTTTCTTCATTAATATAATATTAAAAAAATAAAACTCAATGTATGTATAATAAAAGTTATAAGCTGAGTAAAAATTTTTAAAATATTATTAGGTATGGCAATCCGTATGAAGAGATGTTTAAAAATGAATGAACCTAAAGATTTTATTGTTGATCATCCTTTTATTTTTTTTATTTTAACTAAAGTTAGTAGCATTATTTTTGTAGGTCGAATGACCAAAATTGATTCATTGGCACAACATATTATAAGAGAAGAACTTTAATGTTCCATTAAAAAAATATGTACATTTATTATTAGATAATTCATGTTGTTATCAACTTTAACTTTGTTGAGTGGGGTATATATTATTATAGTTATTTTTTAAAAATCTATTTTGTTAACAACTGTATAAGTATTATTTTTTATTGATTAATTTGTATGCATTTATTACAAATAGTAAATGTAATTGATGTAATAATTGATAACATTTAAATTTACCGTAAATAATCTAGGGTAGTATATGTTCTAATACAAATATATGCTTATGTTATTAGGAATGATTATGCTTACCCGGTGTTTGATGACCCCCAGAGCATACGAAGAAGTTGACTTTTTTGCAAATTGTCCATACATCTTCTTTATAATGGGCAAAAACAATGAACTTTTATTTTCTGGCCGAATACAAAATTTATCTGAAAATTAAAATTCAAATGTTATCCTATTAATAGTTACCCATTTCAATTTTATCAGTATTTTCATACATTTTTATTATCTCATAGTTAGTTTATTATTGTTAGCCCTTAACGCACATGTTAATCATATTCTCAAACATAAATGTTTGTATTTTCTAACTATTTTTCTTATTGAAAACTATTTTTCAGAGTTAAATAATTAATATTGTTGTTAATATTGATATATTATTTAAATTATTTAAAGAGTATTTTTATTTATTTCACATCATACATTTGAGTACATTTCTGGTGAATATTTTCATTATTTATTTTTTATACTATAATTAATTACATATGATGAACAATTTAATATTTCAGTTTTTAACTATTTAATTTGAACAAAAGTTATAAAAATTATAAAATACAATCAATTGCATTTTTATAAAATGCTATTATGCACATAGTAATATATTTTGTGAAAGTTGATTGTTTAATTTTCTGTGAAAAGCTGATACCCATATATACATGTGTGTATATATATATATATATATATATATATATATATTTATATTAATATATATATTTATATTAATATATATATTTTCTATTAATTATATTGTTAATTTTTTTAAATTGTTTTTTGTTTTATTATTATTTAATTAAATATGTTTAGTTTCAATGTTCTTGTTAAAATTTATTTAATTTAAATTTAAATCCAGTTTTTTTTTTTTTTATATAATATACCTTGTTAATTAATAACAATAATATCAAATAGCTAAAATATTTATATATATATTTTTATAATCATGTATTCTAATTGAATGTAAGACCTTTGGTTGAGCACTAAACCTATTATTTACCATAATAAATTGCTTATTTGTATACGTTTTATGTATTATTTGTTATGTTACACAGCTTTTTATTTTCTAAGATCATATATCCATTTGGGTTGTTATTTAAAAAAAACTATTGTCAATTGTTATTATGGTATGACCTTAATGTGTTCAACAGGCTGGTCTATGGACAACAGTATGAGTTTCCCAGGAACAAAAAATAGAAGTACATTCAGAGCTGATCATCCGTTCACCTTTGTTATTTTATCGCATTTTGGTTATTCTCATATAATTTTCACTGGAAAAATAGTTACTCTGTGAAATTATGGTACCTATTACCTTAGTGCGTTTTTTAATTAATTAATTTACATATTTATCTAAATAGTAAAATAATTATGATTTTTGTTTATTTTTATTAACTTCCAGCAAATAAATACATTGCACCCAATTAAAACTAACGTATCTGAACTTTTCAGTTGTATTATATTTAATTTTTATTTAATAATTGAACGTAAAATCTAAAATTTATTAATATTTATATCATCAATAAGTTAGTTTCCTGAACAGTGTTTGAAATATAAAGTACGAGTTATTATAAATACTAGTAACAACTTTTTATAAAATAACTAAACAAAGGTTATGAGTAATAAGTGTTATAACTGATGGTATAATTTTTTTGTGCTGCAGTATTAATACTGTTGACTTCAAAACTAAATTCTAAGTATTTTTATTTTCATTTATTTTATTAATATAGTGCTTAAACTCAAAGATTGTTATTAGATAACTGTCATTAACTTAGGTAGTGGTGATTGGTAAATAAATAATATGTATATTGCAGTTTGATTCTAAAATGCAATGTATGCAGATTCATAATATTTTTTATGTTAAATTCATCATATCTAATAAATTTCTAACAATTGGTTAATTTGTGAATTTCATTATATACCTATTTTTTTGTGACTTGCACGTTTGTTTCTATGCTTTCTTTATTTTTTTTTAAAACAACTGGCATTATTGTGTATTTTATTATAAGATTGTTTTATGTTTGTACAGGTATAAATGTAATGTTACTAAGACTTCCTGCACCACTACCCAAAGTAAATTTTGTTGCTGATCACCCTTTTGTTGTTTTGATCATTTCTAGAACAAAGACCCTTTTATTTATGGGCCGTTTATCAAAACCGTTTAAATTTTATCATTTTTGATTTTAAGTTAACAGTTATATTATGTATAATTAATATAACAATAAATTTTGAATATTATCTATTTATTTTTTACTAATAAAAATATTAAGTTGATGAGAGGTGGGTCAAGTGAACAATCATAATATTGTATAGGTCTCCAATATCCATCATAGCGCAATACCTATTTTAGTCTCATTGCGTGTGAAAATAAATATCTGGCTACATTAGCTAGCTTTGATTATTTTAAGTGAATGTTATTGTTTTCATCATAACTGTAATTTAATGTCATGTTCGTTAATAATTATTGTAGAACGGCTTATTATTAATAACGCGGTCATTTAAATTTCGTAAACTGTCTGCTTATTTAAGTCTTGCGCGATCGATTTTTATGCGGTTTAATCTATGGCGGGGTCTGTGATCCGTGCGTCCTCGTTGTAGTATTTTATGCATTTATAATTGTTTCTTTAATACATCATGTACGGAATTTCATTTTCATATAATCAAATTTTTTGAATATTAAAAATATATATTATTGAAATTATCTACAGTTATAGTGCTATTATATATTATCGTATGTTACTTATGTTTGATTTATATTTGTGCAGGTTTGGTGTTTATGTTAACGAGCTTACCTTATCCAGCTCCGCCGCCTCCCGTCGTTAATTTTGTTGCTGATCATCCTTTCATGTTTTCTATAATTTCTCGCAACAACGACATATTGTTTGTAGGCCGTCTGTCAAAATTTTAAGCGATGCACCAACTCACAGTGGTCCAGTGAAACATAATTGTATCATCAGACGTTTATACTACTCACAACTTACATACCATAGTATAATTATAAAATAAACATTCTCAACAATATTTTACGATGATTAAATATTTGATTAAAAATAAACCGGTGTGCGGGTAAAAGAGAATTGGTCAATGTTATTAATTTTTAGATAAAGAAAAACGTTGTACATAATGATATCCGTATTGGTTGAAATAATTTCTCATCATTTTTTTATTGATAATTTGAATAACACAAAGTAAATAAATCAGGTATTTTGATAATAAAAACTACGTGGAATATATAGTATTATGGTGGCAATAATTATAAAATTTCAAAATTGACTCAGTCCCCTTTTACAACCCTCCATGCACCTGACTATACCTTTTAAATATTATTTTAATAATATACTGCATTGCATGTTATGCACCGATTGCGGGTTTTGATCAAATATAATTCATAGACGAAAGTTTATCAGGGTGTCGCAGTTTAATCGAAATAATCGTTCTGTTGTAATTTTATTATGTCGACGTAAATATTATTCAAATCCATCCGATAAAACTATGATAATTGTGGTGACGATTAATACATTATAACTGCGGTGTATAGGTACTTATTAATAGAAGTATGGCGGCAAACATCATTTCATGATAATTATACGTAGGTTCTATTTAATACTATTATTGTACTGTGACAAATAATTGTGTACTACGCCATTATTGTGTCCCTAACCATTTGGTTGCATCCGGCTGTTTTTGCGTTTAATTTAACACCTTTATATTATGTAGGTACGTCGCCCTTGTCCGACTTTTCTGTGTTAGCGATTCTGTTCGACTAAACGATTTAGCATACGTATTATGTACGTTTTAACATTTTAATTATTAGATGTCGATTATTATATTATTTATATATGCAATATAAATACTCAAGCAAGGTTTTCAAAAAGTTTTAATTTATTTATTTTTTAATTCGTTTGTTTACCGAATTGCTTATAAGTTATAGGTAACTATGATAAGATATGCATTATATTCCGTATTGATATGTAAAATTCAAATTTTTTGTGAAGTTCTAACATCGATATTTTAATACCATCTTTATTTTTTTCAACTTCGTGTTTGACTACATTATCACTTATCACTACAACAGACAACAGTATAACATATTATTTTTAATGTATGTTAAAAAAATATTTTTTGGTCTTTATACAGTCTGTATAAGCACTGTGAACAATTGTTAATTATATTTTCGCTTAAGTGATCACAACTAACACGTGGTAACCAAATCAGTTAAAGTTTTTATAAAATTGGTTAACACTCCAACAACAATGCATATCAATTATCAAGTTTGTCTGTGATTTGTGATACGTCTTTGTAACATTTTTTTTCGGGGGGAGGGGGAGAGATACATCAGTAGATGCGTACTCTGTTTATAACGCCACCGTTATTATATCAACATATTATGTCTTTTGTAGTTGTTGATCGACAGCTTTAGTTAAGCCATATTTTGAAGTTATTATTTATTTTAGGCTAATATTATGTGATTGTCGACCTATGCTTATTTACACTCGTTTAAAACCGTTGGCTTTTAATAAATTTAATGTCGCTGTTTATGTGTTATGCCATTTTTTGTGTATGACAGCACCTTAATTGGAATTTTGTCAGAATGTGATCATAATTTTTTAACAACATTAATCATCTTGGTGTATATATGGGTAAAGTGTGCGGGCATATTATTATATATGTAATAAAGCGGCCTGCGATTTTGTAATTTATCAAGCAAAATAATATGTAAAAAAAAAAAATAATCCAATTGTAATCTCTAATGTTAATTTTCTGTGGAGAAATATAATAATCTGTAAGTGATGGCTATTTTGAGCTGTCCTTTGTCCAACGCAGGCTGTTTTAATTCGCGTCTTTTCCATAGTCACCTTTATTTGTGTTAATAAATACTGTAAATATTACTGTATGAACATATATGATGTGTATATATATATATATATATATAAATGTATATATATTGTGCAGCAATGATAATGGTGAAGTACAGTGCCAGATATCCGATCATACCGCCGGAAAATGTTGAATTCTACGCTGACCATCCTTTTGTTGTCGCGATAGTGTCGCGCAATGATGACGTCTTGTTTCTTGGCCGCCTGTTGAATCCATGAACGACGTTTCATTATTGTATTTATATAACGTCATATATGTCATAATTATATTATTTTTGAAAATACGACTTTCTGTTTTCGTGGTTGCACCTTTTCACTGTATGTTTTATAGAATTTCGAACACGACTTCTAAAACAATTTATATTTTGCAGTGGTTACTGCGTGTTTATTACAAGCACTGTAATATAGTGAGTGTTATATTTATAAGCTTAATACTCATCATATTAATATACAGATTGATTCACCAAGCATGCTTACCCCCTTATTCTTTAATAATGCAGGTATTCTAAATCATATCTCTGGAATTTTTAAATAAACTTAGAGACTAATATTTTTGAATACTTGTGATTTTTGTACCATTTGAGAAAGACTTACATACTTGACAGACAATTTTTTTTTTAAATGTCAATTTATAGTTACATAAATTTAAATTTGATCAAGTAATTTCCGAAATATTAAACATCATGTATTAAAGATAATAGATGTGCTTATACATAAAATATTAAATATATTATCTATTATCTTATTATAAATTTGATAAACTAGGAAGAATAGCCGTCGTTTGCTTTTTAGTTAATTTGAAAATTATAGTATTAAGTTATATTAATCTATACACATTTTACAATATTTTTGATATTTGTCTGAATAATAACTAATAAAAATATGACTAAACACTAAACAAGTATAAAAGATATATAACATGTTTTAGTTTTGTGTACAAGTATAGCTTGGCTTCCGGCTTTGTATAATGGTATATTATCCTAAGTACATTATAAATAATAATTTAGAATCTACTCATGTTTTTTAATTAAGATACATCAGTATTTTCAAAATAAAAATTATTTACTGAATACTTTAAAGTAAAAATGGGTGGTTCTTATTAAAAGAAAAAAAAGTTTTTATCATAGAACGCTTCTTAAGTGAAACAAATAATCTGAAATATTCAAAAATATATGGTACCTACTTATTTAAGTTAAATTAAAAATTTTAATAAACAGATCTTGAATAACTGCATTATTAAAGAAAATAAGGGGGTGAATATATTTCGTGAATCTCCATTGTAGGTATAGTGTCAATCAGCTTAGCATATTAAGCGGAGATCAATGTTTTAAGCGTGGGAAGCTAATAAGTATATTCCTATTTTGTATATAATACCAAATTTTTAAAAATGTGATAGTTTTTAGCGCTAAATACTTTTAATAAAATAAAATATTTTTATTTAATTTGTATGTTAAACAGCAGTTAAATAGGTATAATAATATTAGTAGATCAAAATATATCCAATTTTTTAAAAGATTTTAAAAGGCAATAACAGATTGTTGCAACATCCATAAAAAAAATCATCGAACATGAAATATTTTTGGTGAGCTTGAAAATTATTTTAGGGGCTCTCCTACCTTGGATGTCTGTCATGGTTAGGTCAAATAAATGCTGCCTTTTTGGTAATTATAAAAATTTTAAAAATAATAATAATAATAATTATAAATGTAAAAATAATAGTAATAAGAAATGTTGAAATAATATTACATATTTTAGTTCTTATTAAAATATGAATTATTATTTATTTAGGGTTTCTCCAACCGTAATTCTTTTTTTACTAATATTTTTGAGAAATAATAATTTAAAATACTTACTGTGCTTTGGGAGCCAATTTTAATTATTAATAAGTTTTAAGTTTACAATACTTTTGGTTCATCTATGCTAGGAAGTAGGAAGAAAAAATTTAAAATTGTTTTCGTGGTTATTATTTTTAATCTTAGATAGCAAATCTATATAGAACTAATTTACGTAAATACTTTATGAGTTGAATTATGAATTTCTATTAAATATTCAAATAGTTATGTTAAGTTTTAAAGTTTATACAGGCTTAGTACCATAACAATTACCACCAACATACTATATAATACATACAAAAACACACACACAGATATATATTATTAGTGTATATTTCTTTATCCGTTTACCGTGCTTAAACTCTAAGACTTATACGAATATTTAAATATACTTAAAACCCATATAAATTAGTTCTAAAAATTTGGCCATCATAGATTTTTATTTGAAACACAGAAACAAAGATTTTGGAGTTAGGTAATAAGTGCACGACGATGAATTTGATTGAACCATCGCTAAGACATATATATATATATGTATAAAATGTAGCATTACAGTTATAGTTCATCGTCTTATTGCTCTATCGCAGTTTAACTGGCAATATAATAATAATTATGTAATTGTAACATGTTTTGACACCCTTATATATTTTTTAAATTAAACAAATTCGTTTATATGTATTATATTATATTATGCACTTTATATACGTCAGAGCCAGGTCAAGCAATACACAAAGTATTATGCTTTTATATAGATATTACATAAGCTGGTTGTGATTTTAAAAAAAAGAAGAAGCTTTTTTATTGGTCCGTCCAATCGCTTTGAATTTTTGTGCGCATTTGTGTTTGTTGTATGAAAATATATTATACGTATATCATATTTTTATGTGTATATATTGTAATAATGTGTATATGATATTGGGGTTGAAATATATTTTACTTATTGGTTTTTTTTTTTTATATACAATGTTTAATATGTTTTGAACATTGTCGACGGAAAAATATAAATATAGAAAAAAACTCACCATTATCTTGTATGTGATTTACGTACAGGAATGCAATTCGCATTAATGAGTGCGTGGATTCCGGAACCAGCGCCGAACGTTGATTTCTACGCCGATCATCCGTTCGTCATCGTGATACTCTCTCGTACGGACGACGTTTTATTTCAGGGCCGTCTTACAAAGCCATAAGTCTTTTATACCATTATTTTATCATAATTTATTAAATACTTTACCAAAATAATATCATAAACCATTACTACTTATTTATTGATATAATAAAATTATAATTTTTACATTTTGTATTTTTAAACGATATATTCATTAAATTTATCATCTATATAAATTACTAATCAATAAAAAACATTGG